ATGCTGCACGACATCGAACGCCAACAGACCGGGAGTAACTCGCCCCCTTAGCTCTATTGCATCTATGCCCCTGAAACTTTGCCACAGGAGATCTCAGATCCGACCTGGGACTCCRCCCCCACTTTCCCCAAAAATCCTTGGCACACCCCTTCTCGYGCTTCCAGGCCCACATCTCACTCCGATCAGGAAGTCGCGCCGGGTGTGAGGTTGGGCGTCACAGGAAAGAATGGAGAGTCCTCAGCTCACAGTTGTACGGTCTACACCTCTCACCCCACCACTACACCGAGCTTACCAACACCATCCCTCAGTCTTGGGTAACCWCCCTTCAGCAAACCAACAAWGCGGTACGAGTACAGAGCTGGTTCAAGAACCCCGCCYTYYCAGATCTAYTCTACAGAATCGACAAGGTGAACGAGGACGGTACAGTGAAACCCTCTGAATGGGCCCTGGTTGAGGCAAACCTCTCTCAAACAAAAGAAGTTCAACAGCTCGRTCTAACGGACCTACAGGAAGTAAGAATCCAGCAAATCAAGACAGTTCAARGCACCACGGTSTACCAGGTCAYTATGCAAGAGACTCCCCTCACAGGCTGGAAGGTGGACGTCTGCAAATACGGCTGGATTCATTCCAAGCCYGATGGCGCCAACACCAGGACACCTATCAAGGACTACTCCTCTCAAACAGGCTACAACATCCAATCGGAAGCCCACRCTCTGCAAGCTGGTCTGACTATCAACTGGCAACGGAAATCCACCTCCCTTAAACTCCCTCCAATATCTACTCAATGGCTGMCGCTTTTTATCCATATGATCATGTCCTCTTTAGAGATTAAGGWAGGAGGCCTCCAGTGGCTTCATCTCCACTCCTGTGTCCCTACTGCCCTCTGGTGTTCTGAAAAAGGAATGGATATCTYGACACTTTGTGATGMTTGCGCTCATCTATGCTTAGAGGASTGGCTACACCTATGGTGGGAATGCGTCATCGCAAGGGGTTTCTGGGACAGTCTAAACACTATGTGGTCCTGTGCATACTCTCTTACCGGCTTGTGGAACAAGGAMTTYKTCATCACAGGGAGGTTGAATCCGCAACTTAATAAACAGCAGGCAGCCGTCATAGCTCTATCTTTTAGAAGCAGGGCCTTCTGGTCCTTKTGGCTAGCCAGAAGAGACAGACGTTTCATGCAGTCCAMGACCGTTCTTCCTGCCACCCTGGCCCAGTTCAAGCACTCCATTAGATYAGATAWCACAGCGGATTGGGTTAAGATCAGCAGACACTCAGSATCAATAGAGATCGCCAAGGACACCTTCCCGAGGAAATGGTCCTCCCCTTACAAGTGGGCAGATTTCGAYGCAAATGACAAGCTTTTTTACTCTGAGCTACAGTGGGACCGATCAATCAGACCTAGCTAGGGTTCTACTTCTGTCCCCTACCTTTTGTCTTCAGCCGAGTAGGCTAGCTCTCGTACCTTACTCTGATAAGGAGATAAACATAGTAGAATCCTATGTTTTCACTGGTCAGTTCTCTTTTCCTTTCTGTCGGACTCCCCGGTAGACTCTGAGGACCCCGGCCTCAACAACTACGGGACGTTGGGCTCGGTTCCCAACAGGTGCAGTTCCCCACCAATGGAAAGGAGTCGTCCCAAAAAAAAAAAAAAAAAAAGGAAACTCTGCCCTGCGACAGCCAGAGGAGTTCGGACTGCAGTGCAAACTTCAGAGGGGACTGGACTCCAAAACGTAAGTTTGAAACGTATTTTCAAACTCTAACCCTGACCGCACCCTAGTTTTCTCAAAAAAAAAACAAAAAACAAAAAGAAACAGAAAGAGAGAGAGCATCTCTTTATGTGACTGGGCTACGGCCGCTATGCCTCGGCCACGGCCGAGATAAAAAGAGGGAAAATTTGTCTGGCGCCCCTGTATTTTCCATTAGTTTGCGTCGCACCCCTCCAACAGCCGATTTAATCTGTCGTGCCCCTCTGATGAGATGCCAAATTTTCAATAGACCCCTGGTGTCGTCTGGGCCTCATATGTTTTAGTAGTGCCCCTACCGGACCCACGTCAAATTTGCATCATGCCCCTACCGGATAGCTGTTGGTGAAATTTCCGATATGCCCCTACTGGTACCATAGATCTTTTCAGTGTGCCCCTGTCTCCTTTGGAGGCACTCACGGGAATCTCTCTCTCTCTCTCTCTCTCTCTCTCTCTCTC